ACACAATTTTATTTCTGACTCAGAAAATGTTTTAGTGGTCTGGATAAATCAAACTAGGCATAACAGTTCCTTTAAGTCAAATCTAAAGCAGACTCTAACTGTCTTTAATTTTGTGAAGTCTAAGAGAAGTTAAGAAGTTACAGAAGAAAAGTTAGAAGCTAGCAGAGGCTGGGTCGTGAGTTCAAGAAATCATCTCCATAATATTGAATACAAGATGAAGTCTCAAATACTGATGTAGAAGTTGCAGCAAGTTGTTCATATTTAGCTAATATTATCAATAAAGACAGCTACACAAACAATAAATGTTCGAAGTAAAGAAAACCCCATAATGGAAGACGATGCCACCTAGCACTTTCATCGTTAGGCGAGAAATCAGTGAGTGATGGAAGAACTCAAAGGACAAGCTCACTCTCATGTTAGGGGCTAAGAGAGCCTATGACTTTGAGCTGAAGCCAATGTTCATTATCATTCTGAAAATGCTAAGGTCCTTAAGAATTATGCTAAATCCACTCTACCTACACCCTGTAAATAGAACAATAAAGCCTGAAAAGCAGAGTGTGCTCTCAAATGGCTTACTGAGTCTTTTACCCCATTGTTAAAATATACTGCCCAGAAAAAGATCTACCTCTCAGGGCCAAATGTGGTTCAAATGATAGAAAACATGCCTTGCATGTGTAAGGGGCCATGCAGTGCCATTTGCTCAAACCCAGCAATGGTCCCTAAGCACCACGGGGCATGGCCCTCAAAAGAACAATAGGAATGACAAACTATTACTTTCATTGACAAACTATTACTCTCAAGGCAACTGGCAATGCCAGAGGTCTGGTGAAGATAAACAAGATGAATGCTGCTTTCATGCCTGCTAGCACAAAGCCTATTCTGCAGCCCATAGCTCAAGAAATTAATTCAAGTCTTATCATTTGACAAAAGCAATTCAAAAGGCTATAGGTGCCATATATAATGTTTCTTCCAATGAATCTGAATAAAATAAATTAAAAGCTGCCTGCAAAGGATTCGCCATTCTAAATGCCTTTTCGAACTTTGAAATTCTTGTCAGGAAGCCAAAACTGGACGGCAAGAGAAGTTTGGAGAAAGGAGATTCTAATCCTAATGAATGGCTTAGAGGGATTTAAGACCAGTGGAGGACATGGCTACAGATAGGGTGGAATATCTAGAGAGAGAACTAGAATTATAAAAAAAATCTAAAGATGGATTGCAATAATCTTGTCATCAAACTTCAAGGGATGAGGAGTTGCTTCCATGGATGAGCAAAGAAAGCGATTTCTAGAGATGGAATGTGGTCCTTGTAAAGATACTGAGAACACCGCTGAAATAAACACAGAGGATTTAGAACACTGTGCAAATAGCTTGCAAAGCTGCTGCAGGACTTGAGAGGACTGACTCTGATATTAAAAGAAGTTCTAGTGTAGGTAAATGTTATCATAGAGCACAGAGAAATCTTCTGTGAAAAGAAGCATCAATGGCTGTAGCAAACCTCATTGTCTATTTCAAGAACTTGCCAGGACCACCCCTACCTTCCATGACTACCACCTGATCCATTAGTCATCGTCAGCATTGAGACCAGACCCTCCACTAGGAAGAATATGACTCACTGAAGGTTCAGATGATGGTGAGAAATTTTAGCAATAAAATATTTTCTAATGAAGGTATGTACATTAGTTGTTTGGAGATATGCTGCTACCTATTTAGTAGAAGACAGTTCAGTATAACCATAACTTTTTTTTTAGAGGGGCTTAGGGCCACACCCAGTGGTGCTCAGGGCTTACTCCTGGCTTTGTGCTCAGGGGGGTCATATGAGGTGATGGGGATTGAACCCGGCCAGCCACATGTAAGGCTAGTATCCCACCCACTGTTGTATCTTTCCAGCTCAGGAAATGCAAACTTTGAAAATATGTGTAGTTATCTATTCAGATATTTACTGCTGAGTAAAACAATGGGAGGAGATGAAAGGCAATAGTTCGATAAGTTATCTCTCCTGGTGGACAGGGGAGGAATATATAGGATGCCAGGGATCAAATCCCAGTCAGCGCATGCAAGGCAAGCATCCTATCTACTGTGTTATTGTTCTGATCCCATAAACATGTTAATTTCATAAGCACTAGAAAACCAAAATGTTCATGTGACTGGCTTATTGCAGTGTAGGGTATTCCACGCCTCTGGAATCTACCTGCTATATCTCCAAGATGTGCTATATTATGCTGCCTTCCCTCCTACTCTCCTGGAATTTACATTCTTTATTATTATTATTATTATTATTATTATTATTATTAGCCCGGCAAGCTACCGAGAGTATTCGATATGCCAGACACAGTAACAACAAATTCTCCAATGGAGACATTACTGGGCCCACTCGAGCAAATCGACGATCAACGGGAGGGCCTTTACCTTACCTTTTATTATTATTAGGATAGTGGGAAGCTTTGGAGTCATACCTAACAGTGTTCAGGGGCCACTCGTGGCAATCCTTGAGGGATCATGCAATGCTGGGGACTGAACTTGAACCTCCTGCACAATAAGATACAGACCACACTTTGAGTAATCTCTTCAGCCCAGAATGTACATTATTATATATATTATAAAATATGCTATTTATGGGCTGGAGCAACAGCACAGCGGTAGGGCGTTTGCTTTGCACGCAGCCAACTTGGCCGACCCGAGTTCGAGTCCTCTGCCCCTCTCGGAGAGCCTGGCAAGCTACCGAGAGTATCTCGCCCGCACGGCAGAGCCTGGCAAGCTCCCCGTGACGTATTCGATATGCCAAACACAGTAACAACAAAGTCTCCAAAGGAGACGTTACTGGGCCCGCTCGAGCAAATCGATGAACAACAGGAGGACAGTGACAGTGACAGTGATGTTATTTATAGTATATAATATATATTATTAAATCACCAGGAGATACACAGTTGCAAAGGTTTTCATGATTGAGCTTCAGCCATACAATATTCCATTACCCGTTCCTTCATCAGGTATATTTTTCCACCACCAAAGTCCCCAGTTTTCCTCCCCCACCCATCAGCCTGTCTTTATGACAGGCACTTTCCTTTTCTTCTCTCTCTCTCTCTCTCTTCTTTCTCTCCCCTCTCTTCCCTACCCCTCTTGGCACTATGGTACTATAGTTTGCTATACAGGTACTGAAAGGTTATTACGTTTGTCCCTTTACCAACCTTCAACACTCAGTTCTTATCCAGAGCAATAATATTCAACTATTTTTGTCACAGTGATCTCTTCTCTATCCTAGCTTTCCTCTCCCTACCACCATTTGTACCATTTGTGACAAGCATCCAACTGTGGATCATTCCTCTTGGCCCTTGTTTCCACTGTCCTTGGATATTAGTCTCATACTATTTTTTTTATATCCCACAAATGAATGTAATCATTCTGTATCTGTATGTCTGTCCCTCTCCCTCTGACTCATTTCACTCAGCATGATAACCTCCATGTCCATCCATTTATACATGAATTTTATGACATTTTTTTTCCTGGTGACTGCATAGTATTCCACTGTGTAGATGTACCAGTTTTTTTTTTAACCAATCGTCTATTCTCAGGCACTCAAGCTGTTTCCTGATTCTGACTCTTGTGAATAGTGCTGCACTGACCAGATGTACATTTTTAAAGGGAAACATTAGAGATCACCATCCATAGACAACCAAGAGCAGAATCAAGGCCAGGCAAGAGCCCCACAGTCAGTCTATAGAGATTTTTTAAAAAGACCACCTCTGTGACCTTGTCTTTATATCCAAGACCAAGAATTTCCCACCAGAAATGTCCCTCAGTCCTTGCCGCAGTATGGCCCAGGCTGTTCAGGCTGTTGTTCTGTATCTCCTCTCCACTACCAGCCCTAAAATCCTTCCCAGCCTACTGGACCAAAGGTTTCTCATAAACTTACTTCTCCTTTTCTTATACTTTCACCTCTGGTCCTTCACTTTTTCCCCCCACTTTACTATTACACCTGCTCCTCCCACAATCTTTTTTTTTCTCCTGGGTTACTGGGTGGAGATACGAGAGCACAGCTCCCAGAGGTGCTTGGCCAACCGTGCAGTACAGATCAAACCCAGGTTTCCAGCATGCAAAGCATGTGCTCCAGCCCATGAGCTATCCTCTTGCAGATCCTCCCATTTTTTTGACTCTTTTACTCAGAAATAAGTACCCAGAACAGGTAAATTCACATATTTTCAAAGTTTACATTTCTGGGGCTGAAAAGACAGTACAGCAGGTGGGGACTTGCCCTGCATGTAGCTGACCTCGGTTCAATTCCCAGCTCCACCTGTTCCCTCCATGGGGCTACCCTAGGTGCAAACCCTGAGCACAAAGTCAGGGGTAAGCCCTGAGAACTGCTAGGGTAGTCCCCCAAAACTTTATATTCATTCCTCAAACATTAAGGGCGAGTTCCCAGAGGGCAAGAAATTTCTTGTTCATCTTTACAGCTCCCTTAACAGCTGGCATAATATCTGTTATCCAAATGAATATATATGTATTATATATATATATATATACATATATATATATGGCAGGAGCAATAGAACAGTGGTAGGGCGCTTGTCTTGCACAATCTAACTCATATATATATATATATATATATATATATCACCGTCACCGTCCTCCCATTGTTCATCGATTTGCTCGAGCAGGCCCAGTAACATCTCCATTTTGAGACTTGTTGTTACTGTGTTTGGCATATTGAATACGTCACAGGTAGCTTGCCAGGCTTTGCCGTGCAGGCAAGATACTCTCAGTAGCTTGCCGGGCTCTCCGAGAGGGGCGGAGGAATCAAACCTGGCTCAGCCGGGCTGGCTGTGCACAAGGCAAATGCCTTACCACTGAGCTATCGCTCCAGCCTTTATATATATATACATATATTTCATCACAAACCCTCAGACCCTAAAATAGAAGAAAGCTTGCTTCCATTCACTATTTTGTTCTAACCATCTGAACCTTCCCTTCTCCCCCATCCCCAGGTCATCCCAGGGCAAAGGCTAATGGGTGAGAATGGAAGTACCAGCAGCTTCAACAGTTCCTACACCAACTTCTTCCTGGTGGGCTTCCCTGGGCTGAGAGAATGGCGGCCCCTCCTGGTGCTGCCTCTCACTTTCCTCTACGTGTCCATCATCTCTGCCAATGCCCTAATCATCCACACGGTGGCCGCCCAGCGGAGCCTGCATCAGCCCATGTACGTGCTCATTGCCCTGCTCCTGGCTGTCAACATCTGTGCTGCCACGGCCATAATGCCCAAAATGCTGGAAGGGTTTGTGCACTATGCTAACCCCATATCGCTGCAAGGCTGCCTCACCCAGATGTTCTTTATCTACTTCACCCTCCTTCTAGACTACAACCTCCTGCTGGCCATGGCCCTAGACCGCTATGTGGCCATTTGCCATCCACTCCGCTACACAGACCTGATGACCTCCCGTTTGCTGAGCATCCTGGCTATTCTTGCCCTAACCCGGAGCCTGGGAGTGGCAGTGCCCTTGGTGGTGCTGACCTCACAAGCTCAATTCTGCCGGACAGCTGTCATCCGACACTTCACCTGTGAGTACATTGCGCTACTGAGCATAGCATGTGGAGACTTGACCTTTAACAACCGGTTGGGGCTGGCCATGAGGCTGATCACTGTGACCTTCGACCTAACCCTGCTAGGAAGCTCCTACACCCGCATCATCTATGCTGCCTTCCAGATATCTTCTGGGGGAGCCCGTGCCAAGGCCTTGAACACATGTGGCTCCCACATACTGGTCATCCTCACCATTTACCTCTCTGGTCTCTCGACTTCCATCGTCTTCCGGGTGGCCAAATCTGTGTCTCAGGATGTCCAGAACTTGCTCAGTGCCATCTATTTGCTTCTCCCTGGAGCCCTGAATCCTGTCATTTATGGAGTGAGGACCAGGGAGATTCGGCAACATATAGAGAAGTTGCTGCACCACCGCAAGTAATCCACCCAGAAGGTAGTGGAGAAGTCAGAGGCTTCGGAATGTGTGGGGGTGGAGGGGGGCGGGGGCGGGGAGAGAACCTTGCAAGGGTGAGTGACACTTGGGAAGCTGGAGCCGGGATCTCTGGGAAGCAGCAGTGTGCAGGCTGGGATACCCTAAAGAGATTATGGATCAGCGTTTGCTGAGGTGGATCAACTGCTGCTTCATTCCTAGAATGCTGTCGTCGCTCCGGTAATAAAATGACTTTTACCCCTTTATGATTTTGTTTTCTTTCCTCTTTTGCCTAATTCCTGAGAAAGCCCCAATAATATATGGATGAAGGGTGCGCCACCAAAAGTTATCTAAAGCAGTTGTGCAGACCACAACCTGCACTGAACATACTGGCTACGTCTTTATTTAGGGCCTGGGTCTGTCCCAAACACAGCAATGACTTGACAGACATACAAGAGAACCTTGAGACCTTTTGCTTCATCCAAACACGTCAGATGAATCCTAAGGCCGAGTCAGTGCCAAAGCTGAGTCCAGCCTGATGTCTCCAGTCTGACAGAGGCAAGGAGGTGATAGCCTGGATATCACCTGCCACTCAGGTTAAATCCTCCCTGGAGACCTCTAGGCAGAGAGACATCCAAACTGAGTCCTTTTCTGGCACCAAGTCTGGCCCAAATATGAGATTAGGTCTTAATATGGTAAGTCAGGCCACTCTGCATACTAGTGAGATTCACCTAGGAATTATCCTTTGGTGAAGTCTCAGCTCTGTCATCTAAAGCAGCGGCCTTCAACTTTTATCCACAACCCCCTTTTGATCATTTCCCTTCTGTGGCCTCCGTTCTACAAGTTGACTTCCAAGTCTTGTGCTGGGGGTTCCCACTACATGAATTTTCACCTGTGGCCCCCTTGGAATGTCCTGGGAGCAAACTGGGTACCATACGGCCCTTTGTTGAGAAGCGCGGATTTAAAGAATGTTCTTCAGGGATATTCCAGAAAGAGGCTGAGTCGCCTATACAAGAGAACCATCAGTAAACCAGATGTGTGATTTTTCCTGTCAACTGGAATTCAAAAGGAATCCTCCCTCTCCTCAGATCATAAATACAGGCAGGAAGAGAAAGGGAGCAACAGGCCTGTGAGTATTTGATCACCTCTAAATGCAATGAGTTACTTGTGCTTTAGGACCTACTTATTCATATGCACCTCCACTGGAACAGGAAACATTGCTGCATATGCCCAGTACGTGCTTTGTTAGGTAGGTAAGAAAACAGAAAACAGCCCAATTCAGATAGGGCGGCTCAGGCTGCGAGGTATTTTTTTTTTCCCTTTTGGAAAGTTGTTTGTTCATGTTTTTGAGTCACACCCATTTACTTCAGGGGTTACTTCTGGCTCTGTGTTCAGGGATCACTCTTGGGGGGAATTCGGGGATCAAACCCAGGTCAGCTGTGTGGAAGTGCCCTACCTGTTGTGCTATCTCTCCAGCCCTATTGTCTTTCTATTGTCTTTACTAAGACCAATATAAGTAGACAAGTTTCCCCTGCCCAAAATGTAAAATTATAAATACATATTAAATTTGAAAGCCACACCCAGCTATGCTCAGGGGTTATTCCTGGCTCTGCACTCAGAATCACTCCTGGCAATGCTTGGGAGACCATCTGTGGTGTCGGGGATTGAGCCCTGGTCAGCCACATGCATGCAAAGTAAACATTTTACCACTGTACTATCATCTCTCCAGCCCCCAAAGTTCACTTTCTGCAAAATGTTAATATTTTAGCAACAAAAACATAATCAAAGGAAAAAACACAGGGGTTGGAGAGATACTACAGGCAGGTATGGCACATAGTCAAATTGCGTTTGATCCCTGGCACTCCACAAGGCTGCCAAACCCTGCCAGGAGTAGTCCCTGAATGCAGAGCCAGGACACCCTGAGCACAGCTCAGTGTGACCCAAAAATGAAAATAATTTTAATGCATATATACATAAAGTTCAGGCTTAAAATGGAAATATCTAGAGAGAAGGTAGGAGGCTTATCTTGTATACAGTCAACCTGGGTTTGCTCCCAAGCATCCCTAATGGTCCCCTGAGCCCCACCAGAGTCAAGAGTAAGCCCTGAGCACTGCGGGGTGTTGCCCACCCAAAATATATAAGAAATTCTGATGTTAAATGGATAGGTCTTAAAAACACTGTTCTAGGCCAGGCACAAAAGGGCACATATATGACTCAATGTATATGAGAACTTAGAATAAGAAAATGAACAGCCAGAAAGAATTAGAGATGAAGAACTAGGGGAGAAAGAAAGGGAAGAAATGGAAGAAAAAAATGTTATACAGTTTGGGATAAGAAAGTTCTAGAAACAGTGCTGATGGTTGTATTTTATAAATGTATATAATTGAATGATGCTTAAAAATGAGTTAAACAGAGAGGAGCGATAGCACAGTGGTAGGGTGTTTGCCTTGCACGCAGCCAACATGGCCGACCCGAGTTCGATTCCTCCGCCCCTCTCGGAGAGCCCGGCAAGCTAACAAGAGTATCTCACCCGCACGGCAGAGCCTGGCAAGCCACCCGTGATGTATTCGATATGCCAGACACAGTAACAACAAAGTCTCCAATGGAGACGTTACTGGGCCCGCTCGAGCAAATCAATGATCAACGGGAGGGCCTTTACTTTACTTACAATTATATAAGGTATCTGTAAAATAAGAATCCCACAAAGCATTTTAATAATCTTCAGGGCGTGGCAAGAAGGAAACTGGGGACACCGGTGGTGGGAAATGTACACGGGTGAAAGGACAGGTATTGGGACATTGTATGACTGATACCCAATCATGAGCAACTTTGTAATTATACTGCAGTGATTCAATTAAAAAATTGATTTTTAGGGGCTGGAGAGATAGCACAGCGGGTAGGGCGTTTGCCTTGCACGCAGCCGACCCAGGTTCGATTCCCAGCATCCCATATGGTCCCCTGAGCACTGCCAGGAATGAGTGCATCGCCGCGTATGACCCAAAAAGCAAAAAAAAAAAAAAAAATTTTTCAAAATCTATCTTCAAATTTCCTCCATGAACTCTCAAACATTAAGAGGGGTTTTCAAAATTTAACCTCTGTATAAAAAGAAATGACAAAATTAGTCTCACACAACCACTTAGAAATAATGATCTTTATTTCAGGATGACTCATTTAATAGAGGCCATTTGGTTTCCCAATAAAATGGTGTCAGAGGAGCAAGGAAACCTACGTCTGTCACCACTTTATGGAAACCTACTCCACCTATCTACACTGAAAGGCAGCCTGACTCTCAGGCTGTTGAGTCCTTTCTCAGGACCCACACATCAAACACTCATCCCTGTTCTCCAATGAGCAAACCATAGCTGCTGTATTTCTTTCTTTCTCTTCTTCCTCTTTTGACGTCTTTTCTTTTTCTTTCAGCTTCTCCTTATTTAGAGTGAACTGAATCGGATTAGCTGCGGGTCTGGTCCTTAAGTAATACATCCCAGTCTTCAAACCCTGTAAGGGAAGAAAAAAAATCAGAAATCTAGATTTTCAAGACCAGTGTATTTTCAGGGGTTGGAGAGATAGTACGGCGGATACAGCATGTGCCTTTCAGGTGGCCAACCCATGTTTAAGCCCTGACACCACATAATCTCCCCCAAGCACCACCTCGAGTAATCAGAGCCAGGAGTAAGCCCTTAGTACCATGGAGTGTGCCTCCCACCACCCCCTCAAAAAAAAAAAACCCAATAATTAGAAAATAAAAATCTCATAGACCAAATCAAACTTTTTAAACTTGGAATTCTATTTTCTCTAGAAATCTTATCAAAAATACTTAGAAAAAGTGGATCAGTTTTACTCTTCATCCCTAGAGAGGCCTATTGCTTTCGAACTGCCAAATACTGCAGCCAGAGTGATAGTACAGCAGATGTGCTTCCTTGCATGTGATCGACCTGGGTTCAATCCCTGGTATCTTATATGGTTGTCTCAGAACCACCAGGAGTGATTCCTGAGTGCAGAGCCATGAGTAATACCTGAGCACCACCAGGTCTAACCCCCTCTCCCCCAATACAGAAATAAATTAGAAATGTCAAATGTTTCTATTTCATTTTATGGTTTATACATATAACTTTAAGACTACATAAAACATATTACCCTAGATTATAAGTATTTAAAACATTTGACTCTGTTCTACTATAACAACAACAACAACAACAAAAAGAATAGATTATCTTGTAACCAGAATCTCCACTCCTGACAGATTTTTGATAAATGCTTATTAATAACTCCATAATTTATATAAATAAACAGTACATTACCAGGGAATATGAATACAAAGATTTTATAGTTGGCAAAGACTAAGTCATTTAATTTAAGTGGCAAAATATCGTATTTTTTGTTTTTGGGCCACTCCGAGTAGTGTTCAAGGCCTATTCCTGGCTCAGCGCTTAGCAATTCCCAGCAGTGCGAGGGAACCCATGCAGTGTCAAGAGCTGATTCTCATCCTACAAGTTATTTCCCCAGCCCCAAAATGGGATGTTTCTAAACAACGAGCTGAAATATGTAGAGTCTGGTTTTAGAAATGGTGACAGTACACAAAACACAGAGCACGAATACCAGTAGAAAGTTGGTTCAGAATACAGGCAAGTGTGGTCAGAGAGATATTACAGGAGGTTACGAACTTGCCATGCAGACAGTGGCTATGGTTTGATCCCTGGCAACACATAGGGTGCCCAGAGCACTGCTAGTAGTAAGCCTTGAGCCCTGCCAATTCTCACCTCCCAGCCCTGTATTTGCTCTTCTCACCCCTACCAGAGAGTGAGAGTACAGGAGGTAAAATAATTGCTGTGTACAAGGTCAACGCTGGCTCAATCCCTGGCACTGCACATGGACATCACAAGCAATGCCAGGGGTCACTCCTGAGCAAAGCCAGTAATAGCTCAAGGACACCACATGGATTGCCCTTCAATCTCCGACGCCCCCAAATAAGATAGTAGTGGTAGAATAAGAGAAATATAATTAAGAAACAA